AATGGCAGTACATCTAACTAATGAAAATAAAAATAGCATCATTCGTTGGGTCTGTTTGCAGCATGGGATCTTACTCAAACTTATCACTTGGAATCTACCCCTTCCCCAATTCCCCTTGATTGTCACTTGACGTCAGCGTCCCTGAGCAATCCGGTTTAGCGTGCATGACTAAAGGTGTGCACACGGCCCACCCCTGTGCCCCGAGTATCTGGTGAGCTGGCCAGCCTTGCACCGTCTTTATCCTCTCGTGCAGCGAGCCTTGCACCAATTGGCTGATCCGGAGGCAATTTAATGACCGCCCCCAAGTGTCATCAGGAATTATTTTATGTCGCAGCAGGGCGACGATCACAACCAATGGTTTCCCCAGACGCCTGGTACTCGCCTCTCCCATAGGGCTGGCCTGCCCTTCAATACCCCTTCTATGAGCGCAGCAAGAAGACAGGACAAAGCAGCAAAGCATGCGTGCTCTACTCCCGGTGGGTTGGCATGCTGACCGTGACCCAGTGCTCTGTACAGGGGCCCTTCAGAAAGCATCGCCCTCTCCTTCTAGATGCTCCATGTGAACAATGCCGACTCTCAAGGTTGAGCGCACACGACACCTCACATGAGAGGACTCTCAATAAGGAACTCGTCAAAACGAAATTCTGAATTCTCTACAGAGGCTGGATTAAAATATTTCATTTTAGGTGCCTTTTCCTCTGGGATTTTCTTATTCGGTTGTTCTATGATTTATGGATTTACAGGAGTGACCAATTTTGAAGAATTAGCCAATATTTTGACTGGTTATGAAATGACAACCTCACGGGAAGAAGTGATGAAGAGGGTAGATAAGGTTAAGAGCAACATACCTCGATATAGCTGCCCCCAACCACATATATTCTCACCAGATGACCTGATGGCGATTGCGATGACCAGTCACTGCATCGGCACAACCAGCATTATCTCGCCGTTCCACCTTAGCATCAATCAACCACCAGATAGTTCTCATCACACTGCGAACACCCAATATACACACCGTAGCCTTCTTGGCGATTCCCCTTTCCTCCTGGGTCCCCACACCTTGTCTCCACCCTCCTCACTACACACGACTTACGACCTCATTCACCAAGCAGACCGCATGCATGTACCGCGTAGGCAGAAGACAAGCGCCAGATTAGCGCAACGTACCACAACTCCAATACCAAATTGCAAGGATGATGAGCGATAGTGAACTTCAGCAATCAAACAGCATCATACACATAAGACCAGATAGTCGTGACCTCGAACCAATAGCAGAATTGCATCACGAGTTTCATCAAATAAGAGCATACCAAAAGCTCATACTTGACAATGCTGCATCATCATCATCAATGAAGAACCAATGATGATATCCTATCTGGCGCTCGGCGCCCAGATTACAGATGGCAGTTCCTATCTAGCCTATACTACAATGTCGAAGATGACGACAACAGCTCTCCCGAAGTACGAGCAGATAGCGGCCAATGTCGCATGCTTCCAGCACCAGGTATGTCTCTCGCATCACTCACAGCCTCGTTCCCCAACACACAGATGCCACATGCACCCAAGGACCACCCTGCGCCACAGCCAACTCACAAAAACGCAGCTCGACTATGGCTGCCTGCTCCTTCCAGCTCGCCCGTGAGCGCTGGCCAGCTTCAGCGCAGCAGCGCTTGCGCAGCATGCAGCCAGCGCCCGAATGTTCAATGTGGAGGCAGGCCCTTTGCTATATGGAAGTGGCCTGCCTGCTGCTGCGCTGGGCCTACCCCAAGAAGCTTCCTGTAGGCCCCGGTAGGCGGACGCCCAGTCCAAATGAATCAGGCCCAGGGCCTGTGGTGGTTACTTGTGCCCAACTGTCCTCGACCTGTGTTTGGCCCATATCCCGTATCCATCCCAGGGCCTGCCTTCCATACGTGCAAACAGGCGGCCTGGGCCTGGGTGCTCTTCAACCAACTGGCGCTGCGCAACTACCTGAATTTTCCACAGTTGCGTGGTGACCGAAATAGGGGCCCTCAGGCCCTCGTCGAACCTGCCTTCACTTAGGGCGGCCGACGTGCTGCATAACAGAGCCAAAAAGGGGCTCATTGGGGCCTTGGCCTCGCATGAGTGCCTACTATTCCCACAAGAAGAGGGGAAGGGAGGGAAAAAAACACCCTCTCTCCCCATGGAAACTCCTGCGCCTATTCAATTTTCGATTGCATGTACAAGGCTCACAGGAAACAAAGCAAATTACTCCTCCCCCCAAAAAAAAGACCCCCTGTTTGATAACTGCCTCCGCGGGGAAGCGCCCCCTCACCTCCAAGCCCCAGTTCAAAACAGCCCCCTAAATACCACTCCTGCTCCCTCAGTTGCATATAGTACCCCCTAAAGTATGCCCCGCAGAGCCGAAGATCCCGCTTCCCTCCTGCCCCACCCGCTCCAAGTGAAACAGCCCTTCAACATCTCACTATGCTGGCATCAGCACCCCTTGTCCTCTCTCCCCAACCGCCATAGGTGTTCCGACCCAAAAGTCAGAGTGGCCCAGAAAAAGGACAAAACCTCAACACCGCCCCTCCCTCTCAAGGATCACACACCCACCCTGTGTAACCCTCGCAGGGAGGGGCTCCAACCCTAAAGGAGATAATTCCATTCAGATTCAATAGCCAAAACAGATAGCCGGCATCAATGCTATATAAGCGCTGACTTCCTGGCTTTGACATTCATTCTGTCTTGCATTGATGCCGACTTCACGCGTTGACTTAAACGCTAGCTCGACGCTACGACACTGGCTCGACGATGCGACGCTGGCATTGTGATTCGACAAGGCGCTGCTGGTCCGGCATGGTGGCTGGCTTGCAGCTGTCTTCTTGGCATGCTGACGTGGCAGCTGCCATGAGCTATTGCTGATGTGGCTGCTGCCACGTGCATCATTGGCTGATGTGGCCGCTGCCACGTGTATCTTCTATGCGTCGTGTATTGCTGTTCTGATTATCGACATTGGGGAGAAGATCGGGACTGTGGAGAGATCGTGGATACGTACCTGGTTGTCTTCATGTCAACATTGCTCCAGCGCTGATGAGGGACTGATTAGACGTGCCACGTGGCACATTGAGGTTACTTCAGATACTCGTTCAGACTATTGATTATAGAGGTGGTGATTGAGGAGGGAGCCCGAAGCAGGAGTGCGCCTTCTATTCTCTTCCTCTCCTTTGTCTAATCTCCCTCCTCTCTCCTTCGTCTGTGTATGATTATCTCATCTCATTCTATCTGGACACGATTTTGACTATTGGTAATTATCAGCTGGTTGACATTCTTCGGGACTTGCATTGTTGACAACTGTCCTCAAGATCTGGGTTCATCGCAACAACACCGAACTCCGGCGACAGCGCGCAGGGGAGGGCGCCAGGGCCACCGAATTCGAATTTGAAAACGGTCAATCTGGGGCATTGATCTCGCAGATCTAATGGCCCAGACTGGACCGTTTTCTTTCAGTTTTGGAGGCCTTTACCGGCGTCGAATAATTCTTCCCCCTCGCCCCCCTGCTTTGCCTCTGCCAGCTGCCCACCCACCTGCCGTTAAAGTCCCGGAAGTGATGCCCTCGTATTTTTTTCCCCGATCGGACGTGGGCGCCTGGGCGGACGGCCGACCGGTTGTTTGGTCGGACAGTCCCGGATGGTCAGGGAGGTCCCGGACGTCCGATCCGGTAAAGTAGGAAACATTCCACATTTTTTTGTTGTGCAAAACAAAATGAACTAGCAACTTTTGTTTGAGGGTTGGATAAATTTTTTTGTTAAATATTACAAGTAAAAAATGCAAGGAAAATAAGCAACAGCGAGATGACAATCCCAGATCACACCATCACATTGCAAGTCAAATAGTCACACCGTGTCCAGATAGCAGCATTGCACCAATAATACACCAATGGAGTTTCGTAGCACTGAAAACCAATGTTTATGGAGAGCACACTCTCTCCTCTTCAACACAAGTATCCAGTTCCCTCACACTCACACTTGGCGCTCAGCGCCCAACCTACTTCTACACAGCTACTACAGACTACAAAAAGACAATGCAACTGTTGACATCAGCAGCAGCCCGAAGTACTTGAAGATGCCGCCCATGCAGACCATCGCCAATACAAGGTACGTGCCCTCACATCATCATCATCATCATCCTCCTTCACCTATCCCCTGACTTCACCCACACCTGTCCTCTCTGACACCCGAAGAACCACCCCTGCGCCTCACTCTGTCCAAGCCAAGCCCGCTATGGAGGCTGGCTATGGCGTTGTCCTCAGCAGTGCCCTGTTCCCCTACACGACCGCATGTGTGTTGCCCCTTGCTCCTCTGCCGGCAGTCAGCCTGCGAGCTTTTRCTCCAGCAGCGCTGCCGCCCAGCCAGCAAGTGACCGGATGAGCTGCCTGGCCAGAGCTCTTTCCTTTATGGAAAAGAGCTGGCCAGCTCTCACAGCCTGGCTGGGCTGGCCTGGGCCCAGCAGCTTCTGGAAGGCCCCAGGATGCTGTCTGGATGCAGCAGCTACTGGGCTGCTGGGCCTCGTTCGGTCGGGCGCCCAATTGTCTCTGTATGAGGCTGCGAATCACGCCCAGGGCCTGCATTCTTTGGAAAGGCCCGGTAGGCCGTGGAAATGTCTTCGGTACTCGGCCTGTGTTTCTTTCAACCAACTGGCACGTCGCAACTGCCTGGACCCCAAATATGAAATTGACAGTCGAGGGCCTCTTGCGAAAAGCCAGGCCCGCCTTCGCTTAGGGCGGGCACCTCCGCCTTCACTTAGGGCGGGTAAGGCTGCAGACAGGGTCCCTTAGGCCTACCGAGGACACTGATCCTCACAAAAATAAAATAAGAAAAAAAGAAAAATTATTTTTATTTTTGAATAATTTTTCAATTCAGTTTTGGCCTGGCCAGGCAAGTGGTCCGGGCCAGAACTCTGGTAACATAACTGCGTTTTTTCTTCATCTTACAGGAAGGCTTTTTCTGACTTGCTCTTACTATTTGAAAATTTGGCTGCAGATTGCTGCAGCGCTTGTGAAGTATGGACCTCTTGCTGTGGGAATCAACTCGGTCTTCATGCAGACATATTTAAGAGGAGTGTCCTGCCCGTTGTTCTGCAGCAAACGCCATCTGGACCATGGCGTGCTCCTTGTTGGCTATGGAAAAAGGGGTTTTACACCTGTCCGCCTCGGGTACAAGCCCTTCTGGATCATCAAGAATTCGTGGGGTCCTCATTGGGGCGAGCATGGGTATTATCGAATCTGTAGAGGAAAGGGTGAATGCGGGATAAACAGCCTGGTCTCTGCTGTGATGGCTGTGGATCTGAGTGGCAAGACCCCTGGCGCAAGGGGGAGAACGGAGGCAATTGCCACACAGTAGGCCTGTTTCATCGCAGAGGATGTGTGTTTACAGGTAAGCTGTAGTATACGGACGGACGGTATGCAGATGGCTACTTCTGTCTGCCTTGGTCTCCTTGGGGTCGTAAAAAACCTTGTGGGTGGGGGTCCTCCTTGGGGTGAGGATGGGTGTTATCGCATGCAGCATGTGTCATTTTAAGGAATGAGTGTGGGATGAAACAGCCTGGTCTCAATCTGTGATGGCTGTGCATCCAAGTAAGAAAAAAACCATGTGGGAAATGCAGGGACCATCGGGACCGAGGCATTTGGCAAAGGGTGCGTTTGAAGTGTGATGTACAGATGTACAGGGATACGAACAAAATCGCAGGCTTCATGAATGTTTTGACTTTTTTTAAGTCTTAAGTTTTACAGAAAAGTTGTGTAAAATAGATCTCTCTTTCAGATCCATTTGTTTTCGGAAATCCTCAAATTACAGTGGTCATCGATCTCTTGGGATGTACAGACAGTCGCATGTCTGTGCTTGGAGCGAAAGGCGGTCGGAAAAATACGAGCGTCGTATGGTTTCTATGGCAGCAGCTGTAAGAGCTGATGAGATGGTGGGACCATTTGTCCATGGTTGCTGTTATGGTCAAGCATGTGGAGCAAAGTGAGCCTGCATAACAATGGTGTCGGTATAACGTCTGCCAGAGCAGTTTTCCACTGCTGCTGGTTTTGCCGGTAGATGTGCATAACTCATGCTACCACCCTGCGGGCTTACTTACCTTCCCTGTTGGGACCGGGGGGAAGAGGAGGGGGGGGGGGGGGGGTGTGAATGGAATGTCTGTGGACGTGTGGACTGAGTTCCACGAGGCTAACCATTCGGAGGGGTGTGTCTTACGGGAAAAATGTCCAGGAGGGTTATTGATATCATGGCAGGTGGATGAATATCGTGTGTATTTCCGAGGATTGTGGAGAACGAGGTTTTTTTTTTTTTGTTTGTTTTGTTGGGGGAGAAAGGGCTACTATCTACTTGCTAAGAAAGGGGGAGGCAAACGGAATGTCGGTGGAAAGTGTGGACTGACTTCCGCTAGGCTAACCATATGGAGGGGTGTGCATGACAGTAAAGAGTGAGGGAGTGTTATTGATATCACGCAATCACGGCGAGTGGATGGATATCATGTCTATTTCCGAGTCTTATGGAGAAAGAGCTATTATATCCTTGCTTCGGGAGGGTTATTGATATCATGGCGTGTACCTGTTTAGGTCAGGACAGCTGATTGAATGTCATTCGTGACATGGAGTATTAGTTTTACAGGACCGTGCACTTACATATTCTTTTTTCCTTTTTTGAAATGGGAGATGAGAGGTGACGATGCTGTTTGGAAAGAAAGAACATGTTCGCTGATGTTGCAGCAGGTTGGTGGATTACTTACACGGGACCGCGTGCTCATGTTTTCTTTCTGGAATGGGAGATGAGAGGTGCAAATGCTGTTGCGAAGGAAAGAACATGTTCGTTGACGCTGCATCAGGTTGGTGGATTACTGACACTGGACCGCGTGCTCAATGTTTTCTTTCTGGAATGGGAGATGAGTGGTGCAAATGCTGTTGCGAAGGAAAGCAATATGCTCGTTGACGTTCCAGGAGCTTGGTGGATTAGTTATATATGGACCGCGTGCTCATGTTTACTTTCTGAAACGGGCGATGAGAGGTGCAGATGCTGTTGCAAAGGAAAGAACATGTTCATCGACGTTGCAGCGGGTCGGTGATTGATATCAAGTAGGGTGGATGGACTGAACACATTGTATGGCTTATGGAGAAGAGAGCTGTTATATCCTTGATGAGATGCCTGCTCGTAGGTCAGGGAAGGTGATCGAAATGTCGTTTATTTTGTGACATGGATCGGTTTTCGAAGGCACTGCTTGTGTATATATAATATATATGTTTTTGAAATGGGTGACAAGACTCGAGGTTCACATACTGAAAGTCATCAGCGAAGCGGATATAATCCATCCTTCGGCAGCGATTCCAATGCGTATCGAAAAACGATGCCGTTTCGCTTGGCTATACCATACTCCGATGAGATAACGCGACCGACCAACGGCCTCAACAGAAAGGGGACAGCATGTGCATTGATGTCGTAAACAGCCGGTCGGTGAATGGGTCCGTGCTGTGCTTATGGCTGTACTCGCAAGCATCCAGCTGGGTGCGCAGAGGAGAGACCAGCAGAGAGAGTGGGGAGATTGACAAGCAAGCAGCTGGCTGGGAAGGAAAATGCCTCGTTTTAAAACCACAAGTACTTGTGACCCTTTCTTAGCCGAGCGTAGAACCACTGTGCGCGCCCAACAAAAGAGGGAACCGGCGGTTGTATTATTTATTATTATTATTATTTTTCTTGGTTGGTGCTGCCATCCATTTAGCTCCAGCAGGTCATATGCCCTGAAAGGCACGGTGTGTGCGCGGCCGTGCTGGAGAGAACTCGCTGGGAAATGTACTGGTGGTATACTGCACGTTCTATTTCGGTGGATGGGACTATTATTTTTCTTTTCACAAGAAAACAGGACTTTGTGGTCCCGGCTCAAGCATGGGATTATTATTATATTAATGTAATTGGTTAAAGGCTTAAAGCAGCAGGTCAACTGGTGAGTAAGTGCTAATCGATGGATAGAGGAAATATGAAGAAACCTGGATTATTAGTATAATAATTGGTTAAAGGCTTAAAGCAGCAGGTCACCTGGTGAGTAAGTTTGTTAATTGATGGACATATACATTCCGCGTGCGCTGTCAGTGTGTATAGTGCATATGACAGAGGAAAACACATGAACGAAGCTCGAGTTGAATGTGAGGACATGATTGATTGATGTACTTGACAGAAAACAAGGCACCTTCTTGTTTATGCCTTTTCACATGGCACCTTCTTGTTTCTGCTTTTTGGATCCCGTTATACCTTCCAGGAGTAGGGGAGTGATTGATTGATCTAATGGTTTGTCGAGGGATCGGGGTGATGGCAATTAGGCATTTTGGGGGGGGGGGGGGGGGG